CCAAAATATGTGAGATCAAGTTTCATCTTCCTTGCCTCTAGGAAACACCCTGGTTGCACTTCCTCCAAGAGAGATTTCTTTGTTCTTTTGACAGTCCACGGGATAGTCAGCACTCTTCTTCAACATCACAACTCAAAGGCATTGATCCTTCCTTGGCCATCCCTATTCATTGTCCAAGTTACAGATGCATAGCAATTGATTACTACATAACCTTTTCAAAGCCATAATATCTCAGCTGTACTTCCCAAGGCCCTATCTTTTGTTCTCCATCACTACTACTGCTGCTACTATTGCTGCTGCTGGTGGTAGTCTTAGTCCCTGTCTGTCTCAGGCAGATAAAGTGACTATGGTCCATCAGGGAGAGTGGCCAGTTCCTGGCCAAGGTAGGAGCAGGCATGCCTCGAAATTGACAAAAAGTTTGCTTATATATTCAGCCAACCCAGCAAATGTTTCAGAAAGACTACAGAAAGGCAAAAAGGCAAGAGAGGTAGGAAAAAGAAGAGAAAATGCAGAGCAAAAGGAGTTGAGAAATCTCCTGTGAAGAGTTCCCACATCAGTCAAAGTCTGCTGCACTGAAGATAGTCAGAGGCCAGGAGGTGGCCCTGAAGCAGACTAGGTGCTTATAGCAGAAACCTAATGGTAGGGATACAGCTATGAGAGATGAAGTAAAGCTACTTCACAGGCCACAAGCTAGTCAGTTAACACAGAGAGGCAAACAGCAGGAAAGCCAAAGGCAAAGAGGGCTTTCTGCCTGAGAAGTGATATGCAAGGTCAAAAGGACTGTCCTGAGGGGACTGAGAGGAGGCCTAAATGGCAGAGAGAAGGATCTGCCTGCTTGCATAGCTGAAAGGAACGAAGAAAGCTATCGTACATTAAAGGAAGGAGGAACATTCTGTTTTGGAGGAGCCAACTAGACTTTGATTCTGATTCCAATGTGCAGCCTGTTATTTCCTTAATAAACCATTTAACCATGGTCAGTGAGTTCTGAACAATAAATAATCAAACCCAGTAGATAAGCAGAGAGTTCTGGAAGAGGGATGACTAGTATCAGAACTAGTGATAGGGTTGGAGAGTGAAGGCAAATCTTTCATCTCATACATATCAGATTTGGGCTCATCCTGGTTTTCATCATTAAGGAATCTAGACAAATTTCAGAGAGCTATTATTCTGTGACACAACAATAGTGGATGTAAATAAATCATATAAGAAGTTCTTGCAATTATCCACATGAGACATTATGTGGCTTGGACTCACATAAGAGGTGTTGTTATAATATGCCGTTGAGTCGCTTATGACTCATAGCAACCCTATATACCCTGCTCTATCCTGTGCCAACATTATTGTCTCTGACACACTTACTCCCGTTACCCCAGTCACTGAATCAGTCCATCTCATTAAGGGTCTTCCTCTCTTGAGCTGTTCCTCCACCCTCCCAAACATGATGTCCCTCTCCAAGGACCAATCCCTCTTTGCAACATGCCCAAAGTATGTCAGATGAAGCTTTAGAATCCTTGCCTCCAAAGAGCAGCCCAGTTTCACTCTCTCCAGGACAAACCTGTTTGTTCTTCTAGTAGTCCATAGGATATTCAACACCCTTCTCCAGCACCACAGCTCAAAGGCATCAACTCTCCTTCTATCATCCCTAGTCATTGTCCAGCTCTCTGACACATAGCACGCAATTGTGAAAATTATGGCCTGGATCAGGCGCACCTTAGTCTCCAGCCTGACATCATTGCTCTTCAGTACTCTAGAATAGTACAGGTGTTAATAAGTGATTTGGTTCCAGTTTTATTTAAAAAAGTAGAACCAACTGGATTTGCTAAGGGATGATTAGTTTTAGAGCATGAAATGAAGTGCAGAATCAAGGGTGGCTTTCAGGTTTTTTCCTTCAGCAACTGGAATAATGAAACTGACATTTAAAGGGAAAAGTTTGTTGAAAGTTGAGGTAAATGCATCATATGTTTGGGAATATGTCAAATTTAATATGACTATTTATACATCCGGAATCTATATTTGTTCCCATTCCAAAGAAAGGTGACCCAACTGAGTGTGGAAACTATAGAACAGTGTCATTGATTTCACATGCAAGCAAGATTCTACTGAAGATTATCCAAAAACGATTAGAACAGCACATCAGCAGAGAATTGCCAGAAGTCCAGGCTGGGTTTAGAAGGGGTCGTGGTACTAGGGATATTGTTGCTGATGTTAGATGGATCTTAGGTGAAAGCAGAGAATACCAGAAGAATGTCTATCTGTGTTTCATTGATTATGCAAAGGCATTTGACTGTGTGGATCATAACAAACTGTGGCTGACTCTGAGAAGAATGGGAATCCCAGAACATTTAATTGTGCTAATACGAAACCTATACTTGGAACAAAAGGCAGTAGTCAGAACAGAGCAGGGTAACACTGCATGGTTCAAAATTGGGAAGGCGTATGCCAGGGATGCAGCCTGTCTCCATACCTTTTCAACATGTATGCAGAGCAGATTATCCGAGAGGCTGGGCTCTATGAGGAGAATTGTGGCATCAGGATTGGTGGAAGGTCTATTAACAATCTCCGTTATGCAGATGACACAACCCTGCTTGCTGAAACTGAGGAGGACCTCATGCACTTGCTGCGAAGGGTCAAGGACTGCAGCCTTCAGTATGGACTGAGGCCCAATGTCAAGAAGACAAAGATTCTCGCCACTGGACCAATTGGCAGCGTCAGGATGGATGGCGAAGAGATTGAGATTGTTCACAGCTTCAGTTTGCTCGGCTCCACAGTCAACACTCTTGGCACCAGCAGTCAGGAAATCAAAAAGCGTATCGCAATGGGAAAGTCTGCTGTTAGGGACCTCTCTAAGGTACTCAGGAGCAACAGTGTCTCTCTGGAGACTAAGGTGCGCCTGATACAGGCCATGGTATTTGCAATCGCTTGTTATGCATCAGAGAGTTGGACAATGACTAGGGAGGACAGAAGGAGAGTGGATGCTTTTGAGCTATGGTGCTGGAGAAGGGTACTGAATGTACCCTGGACTGCCAGGAAAACAAACAGATTTATCTTGGAGAGGATTAAACCAAGCTACTCCTTGGAGGCAAGGATTCTGGGGCTGCGTCTGACATACTTTGGACATGTTGCCAGGAGGGACGGGTCCTTGGAGAGGGACATCATGCTTGGGAGGGTGGAGGGACAGCGCAGGAGGGGAAGACCCTCTATGAGATGGATTGATTCGGTGACTGGGGTAATCGGGATGGGTGTGTCAGAGGCGGTGTGGTTGGCGCAGGATAGAGCAGGGTTTAGGGCTGTTGCGCATAGGGTCGCTATGAGTCCGAAACGACTCGACGGCACATAACAACAACAACAATTATACATCCGGGTACGATAGATAGATAGATAGATAGATGATAGATAGATGATAGATAAAACATAATACATTGCTTTCCATTTAGAACTGACTCATAGATTACCCTCTAGTGAGTTTCAAGAGGCTGTAAATTGCACAAAAAGAGTTTGCCCATCTTTCTCCTAAAGAGCAGCTGGTGGCTAAGGACTACACACCATTAGAGCTCCCTAGATACAAATGCAGATAATGTATTTGGTGTTCAGGGAAGTTATGAGAGTTGGAGAGAAAATCTGGGAGTTGGCACGCACATTGCATTTAAAATCCATGACACCTGAGATCACCTGGAGAGTACAGAGAGAAAAGAAGAGGGTCAAGGACTGAGAACGAGGACCATCCGGCTTCAAGAAGTCGATGAAAAATTAGCAAAGACACTGAGATGAGCCTCCAATGAGGTTGACGGAAAGCTAGGAAGGATAAACAGGATCCTGGTCATCAAGTAAAGAAAGTGGTTTGAGAAGGAGGAAGTGACTGTCAAGTACGATGCTGATGTGTCAGCTAAATAGAGACTTGGAAACTGACTATTGCTCTTAGCAATGCAGAATAACTTAATACAAGATACTTGAACAAGTTTTGAGGAAGCAAAACTTGACTGAAATGTGTTCGTGAGCTAAAGGGAGACAAGCTGTTGTAGCCAGCTGCAAGGGAAACGAAAAGAATGTATGGAGAGTTTTGTGCGTTCTTTTTTAAATGAAGGTTTACAGATCATATTGGTGAGCGTTGGTTTTACGACCTATATGATGACAGGAATAATCTCATTAAGGAGGAAAAACAGAGAAGCATAAAATAAAGAATTCCCGGTGCCACAGGCGAGGATGAGATGGGTCTAGTGCCCAGTAGAGGTTAGCCAAGTGTTCCTCTCCTTCAGGAGGCAAAGTACGTGAGCACAGATGCAGGTGGGTTAGTAGATGAAACAGTAGGAACACCTCCTCCGCCGCAAAACAGTTTCATTTCATCCCCCTCCTCCAGGCAGTCTCCAGATTTCTCCTGACCATATCCAGCACTTAAAATATACGTTCTGAGCTGGGTAGCTGACAATTAACAGGATGTGTAACAGTCTCAAGAGCTACTCAAGGGGCTGCGTCGAAATCACCTGGGAATTTTGCTTCACACGCCTCCAAAACCCAGCCCAGAGCCCTGCAGTCTGCGTGACTGAATCAGGCAGAAAAGACCACTAGCAGCTACGCAGCTGCTTTCACAAAGGAGGGCGGTCCTAGTCTTGTGCTTTGGGATCCAGACGTTCGAGCTTCAGTCGCGCTCTGCCCTTCCCTCCCGCAGTTTCCGTTTTTCTGCCAACCAGTCAGTTGTCCGATCCTGTCCCCTAGCGGCCACCGTATGGGACAATTGATAAGGTCTCGAGGTTGGTGGGGGTTGGGCCAACGCTGGGGGGTGGAGCTCAGGGCGAGGGGCTGTATGAATATTGGGCACAAAAATTTCAGGGAGCAATTTCAGGGCGGGCTTGGGTGGGCGGCTGGACAGACCTCCAGGAGGTGGGGCCTAATGATGGATAATGGGGCGGGGACGGGGTTGGGGGCGGTGTCCGTGCGGGGATTGGACTGAGCGCTCCGGGGCGGCACTTGAGGGGGCGGGGCCGTGTCGGAAGTCAAAGGTCGGTAAATAGTGGTGATGTCATGTGGGCAAGATGGCGGAAGGGTGAGTCCGTCGGCCGGCTCTCGGGGTGCTGGGGCCTGAACGCTCCCTGGGTTGGGATGCTGGGCCAGGGTCCCCATGGAGAACAGGAAGCCGGGCGTGGAAGGAGTTGAGAGGGGTGGAGTTGCAGTGTTGGAGGCAGGGAAGGTGGCCCCATTCCTGGGGGAAACTGAGGCCCGATCGTTGGGTGAGCAGGGCAGCCAGATGTATCTGTCTTCCACAGGGAGGATGTGGGCTGGTGGCGGAGCTGGCTGCAGCAGAGTTACCAAGCAGTCAAAGAGAAGGTAAGCCGAGTGGGCGCCCTTCTTCCGGCAGGGCCTGCGCAGCCTCACTGCGATCCGGTCCCCGGCCCCCAGGCCCCCCGGGCACCGGTCCGACCTGTGCAGGCCGAGCCTAACGGATGAAGCCCACCTGGGCCTTAGCCCCTGCCGTTGGACGGAAGAACGGATCCCGACGCAGACCAGCGCGATACTTAGTAGCCGCGGTGGACTAAGATTACTTTAAAGGCATGAAAGACCTTTTCGTAGAAATTCACAGCAGTGAGCAGTTTATTGGAAATAGGGAAATTCAGAACTTGGAGCACTTAATCTCCGCCTAAACGGGAAAAGGAATTAATAGAAAAACCTCTTTTAGTTGTTCAAATAACAGTGTACCCAGCTGGCACTCTGACAGGTTCCTAAGGATACAGATGTTAACCAAGCACTGCAGACCAGAAGCTTACCAGGGCTCCCAGCCTAGTAGGGAGGCAGCCATTAGTCAAATAGACACATAGCTGTTTAATTTTGGGGGGTAAGTGCCATGAAAGGAAGGTCCAGGGGTACCTTGTCTAGTTTGGGTTGTCGGAAACACTGGGGAAGACGGTGCCTTGATGGTATAAATAATACGAAAACACGCTGCAGGTGAACATGAGCTATACACAGCAACTTGATGAGTTCTGTTACAATGAGAGTTTTGCAGAGGAGGCAAAGGAATAGAAAGATTAATGGCTGCAGAGTGTTGCAGAGGAGGCAAAGGAATAGAAAGATTAATGGCTGCAGAGTGGAGATCTTTGAATGGCTTCCAATGTGTGCTCCTTTTTCTTAATAGTTTGTTAAAACCAACCCCACTGGTTTGTGGGAAGAGCTAACTACTATTTACCTCAAGCAACTGGAATGACTCTTATTTCAGGGTGAACTCCAGAAGTCTTAAGGCCTCAGTTAAATTCATCCTCTATTCTGGGAGCACTTTGATTGCTTAACCCAGCCTGGATACTCCTCAACCAGCCTCTTGGCTACACCACAGCAAATCCTGAGTTGTTTTATGTTAGTGATGAGGACTGAGAAAGAGAGGCTTAATTCACAGATTTGATAGAAGAAGCCCCCCAGAGGCATTCTTCCTGTTGAGCCATCTTCTTAGAGGAGTGTAATATTCATTCAGCAAGTAAGGGCTCCTATGTGGTGTCTTCAAAGCTGATCCTTCCATAACTCATGAAGAATCAGCCGGCCTTCCATACTTGTCTTTGGAGACCTCCCAGTTGGAAGTAAGGAGGTGGGTGTTGTTTCTGCCCTTGGCATTTATTCAGTTAGAAAGAAAACATTATTTCCCTGTTTGAGCTGCTTACTTACATATGAACTTGTGCAGGTTTTGTTTAACTTAGAACAATTAAAATACTATATTAAGCATAAGGAGCTCTGGGGTAGTATGTAATGTGTCGGGCTACTAACTGAAAGTTCAGTTCAAATCCACAAGCTGCTCTGCTGAAGAAATATCAGTAGTCTCGTTTTACAAAGATTACAACCTTGGAAAGCCAATGGAGGATCCCTGAGTCAGAACAGATTCCATGGCAGTGGGTTGAACTTTGGGTTTATATAAGCATTAGCTGCTTCTATAAATGTTCAGGAGGATGGAGAAACATCACAGACCTGCTACTCCATTCTGGCTTCCATTTTTTTCCCTTGGCCTTTCAGTGCATGTTTGGCTTTGCTTCCTTCTCTTCCCATCATATATCCATCTAGATCACATTACTTCTCAGCACTCTCGATTCCCCTGTATCCCTTATTTAGGATATATTGTCCCAAGTCTAGGGAGCTCTGGTGACCTACTGGATAGGGAGTTGTACTGCCAACCCAGATGTAGGAAGTTTGAATCTGTCAGCTCCTCTGAGCAAGAAAGAGGGACAGTCTCCTCATATAGTTTATAGCCTCTGAAAAAGTCAGCAGTGAGTGAATTCCTACTTGATGACAATAAGGAGTATTTTTGTCCCAAACCTGCAATTCTGAAGTAGTTCTATAATCTGCCATCCTCTATTACTTCCTTCCTTCCACTGGGCTGTGTGTATATACACACTACTTAGAGGTGAGAAAATTCACATTAGTCATAGCCCATCACAGATTCGCCAATCTTAGCAGAACCTGTACCACCCCTGAAATAAGCCTTTGGAGTCCCTCATTTGTTTCTCCTCCTCTAACCTACAGAAACTTTCAAAATCTAACTCTCCAATTTAGCCCTATTTGCCTTCTCACGTTCAAGAAGCAAACTTTACCTCCCACTTGTTAACATTTGAAGTCAACAAGCATGATCTCACTTAACACTTTTCCCACCACCCGAAGCCTCCACTTACAAACTTATCTATAGTTACACTCAGCCTCGTAGGCTACTTGCCAAGACCCATGGGTAGTTTTCAGCCCTTATCTTCCTGGATTTTCTGCTGCATTTGACACTAGTGATCACTCCCTCTTTCTTGAAACTCTACTCTCTCAGCTTTTGTGACACGAGGCTTACTCAGTTCTCCACATACTTCTTCCATCTTTCCTGTTTTGTAAGTTTCTTTTCCTCTGCCCACCCCGCCCCCTTTGTGGCTGTGTTTCTTGTGGCCTTGTGCTCAGCCCTCCTTTCCTGGGTGACCTCAGCTTTCCTATTTCTGCAAGTCCTCTGGGATTTATTTGAGATCAGCTCCTCCTGGACAGCCATCCTCCATTCTCCTCTGACTTTTCCAGAGCTCCCTCTGACTGCGTGAGCGGAGCAAAGTAGATGTATCATTAGTGCAACCTGAGAGGAGTTGGACAAAAGAGCAGGGTAGCCTGGATTAAGGTGGAGACAGTGCAGGTGGAAAGTGTCAAATAACAAATTAAAAACACACACACATACACACACCACCTCCAACTATGGAATTCAACTCTGAGAGGAGCCCTAGAGGCACAGAGGCTAAATGTTTAGCTGCTAACCAGAAGATCAGTGGTTCAGACACACCAGCAGCTCCTCAGGAAAAAGATGTGGCAGTCTGCTCCCATAGATTTATAATCTTGAAATCCTGTGGCACTTTGCATCAGAATTAACAGCAACAGGCTTAGTGTTTTGGTTTTGGAGTCTGTTATGGAGACATAATTCCCACTCTCAGAGTAACTCCTGGCAGATAGATGATCCCACTCAAAGTCTCTGGCAGGCTAATGAAGAGTAGAGGGCCTTCCCAGAAAAAGCGCCAGAACACTTACTCAGAAACAAACTTTTAAAAAAAATGCAGGTGGTGGTTCTCAGATGAAAGGACAGATAGAAGTGAGTTGCAGAAGTAATCCAGGAAGGCACCCTAAGGTTGGTGAATGTGAAACAAAGCAGGGCAAGACCCAGAGCAGAGGAGTTGTAGGCCCAGACAAAGGGTAATGCACGGAAGTGGAGTAGTTTGACAAGCAAATAGCGGTTCTGCCCAAGGACACTTTATGAATAAATAGAACCAGGGAGTGATGGAAGAAGACAACCTTGTGCCAATATTTCTCTTATTCTTCCCTACTTTTGTTGACTATAAGTGCACACTTTTTCTTTATGCTATTTGAAGTTTTAAATAAATGACTTAAAACATATCAAAGCAATGAGTCAAAATCTGTTTTCAGACCATGTATGTCCTTTCCCTCTTTGAGTATCACAGGTCTGATTGACCTCCCTCACAAAGCTGAGAACTAAATATGACTTGCTTGTGACTGTGGAGCTTGTAAATGTCTGCACTGAGGCTCAGTTTTTGTGCTCAGAGCAGCAGGACATTCCCCTGCATGCTCAGTTGTCACATAATCACAGGTCAAAGAATTGAGACAAGTGAGCATTGTTTCTGAGCCCAGGCTCACGTAGCTTTCCATGTCATCCTGGTGCTTAAGCACAGGGAAGAGGAGCAGAAGGGGGCGGGAGCGGGGGGGCCAGCTGGCTCTACCATCTCTCTGTTTTCCCATAGTCCTCCGAAGCCTTGGAGTTTATGAAGCGGGACCTGACCGAGTTCTCTCAGGTGGTGCAGCATGACACGGCCTGCACCATCGCAGCCACGGCTAGTGTGGTCAAGGAGAAGCTGGCTGTGAGTACTGCCCACCCGCACAGCCTCACCCACCTGACAACCTAAAAGGGACCCTCAGCCACTCTACAGCTAGTATTTCTTTTCCCCCAAAATTAGCCTCGCCGTTTGAACAATTACGTTAAACAAGCTTTGTATATTATTGCTAGCTCACTTTACCATGACTGTATTATGTTTGGGTGGGTTTTATTTGGGGGGTTTTTGTGTTGTGTTGTTTTTTGGTTTGGTTTTTTTTGTGTGCTTTTTTTTCCACATTTTTAAATCTTTTTATTGTTCCCTCTTTTTTGTCCCTGCTTAGGGCACAAAAGGCAAAGGCTCCCGTGCTGTCCCTTGACTGATCCTGAAGGGAGGGGATACTGTAGGAGGAGTATTGGTGGGTTCCTCAGAGCTACTGGCAGCAGCTCTGCGGTGTACGGCCCCTTATCACAGGGTAGTGGACGGTCACCTCCCAAGATGAAAAGTAGGCTGGTACAAGGGCAGGGGGGATTGGACAAAGTAGGTGGGTTGAGGTAACTCCCTGTAGGCACAGACATCCAAGTCCCTTTCTGACCCTGGCCTATACTCACTGTCCTGGGGGGGCCAGTGCAACAACTAGCTGCAGTGGGAGTGGTAAGCCCAGCTGTGGGCATGTTAGTGTATGTTTTTAACAAAGCCATTTATCTAGATAATTTAAAGAGTACTAATTTGGAAAAAAATTAAGAAGTGAAAAATCAAAGCATCCATGATCCCATCCCTTACAGATAGCCACTGTTAATCTTGGGGTATCCATCCCTTATGTACATACTTTTTCAAAACTGGGATCAGCTGAATACTGTGTTTTGTAACCAAGTTTTTAACTTAATCATTAACAGCCTTGTTCTGCAGCTTCATAAATAGTATGGTGTTCAACTGTGTGGATTTAACTAGTTCCTAGTTTACCATTTCAGTTTTTTTCCATTTTGTCTGCTGAGCCGTGCAGAGTTAAACATTCTGACTGCTAAATCTTGGCCTATTGTTGTAATGCTTTCTTTGTAATCAAATACTGGAAGAGATCACAGGGGAAACCTTTTAAAATCTATTGCAAAACTATCATCCTGAAAGGTTGTGCCAGCTTAAATTCTTACTGGCCTTGCTGGTGTTAATCAGAGATGTATGACAATCTCTTATGAGATGGGAGTTAGGTTCCAAAGTGAGTGTGACAGTGAAAATTGTATATGGGCAAAGATACCCATTAAGCTCTTATTAAGCTCCTTTAAAACTGGAACAGATTTTTATTTCTTCATTTTAGTACTAGCTGAATCACTTGCACTGTGATAAAGAGGCCATTTTGGAGGTGTTTTGTTTCTTTTAAGCTAAGCTTATTTTGTTGAACTTTCTCTTACTATTGTCTGCCTGGTGACTCCAGCCACTGATGAATGTGAATGACAGGTAGCAACCCTGCTGAGCTACTGTGAATCCAACCAGTAGCAGAGACACAACTTGCTTCTTTTGGTAATTTCTTTTTTTCAGTCAACAAATAGTGATTGTATTTGTGCCAACATGTGCCAGGCATCATGGCTCTAGGCTTAAGGTGCCTGGGCAGCCTGTTTAGGAGTAAACCTCCCAGTTCTCCAGGACAGCCTGAGCCTGTGTCAGCACCCTGTCCTTGCCTGCTTGAAAGCTGACTTTTTTTAAAACCATTTTTTCCTTGTTTTGATGGAAGCAAGCTATCTGAAGTATTTGTTTTTAAAATATTTTATTGTATTTTAAGTGAAAATTTGCAAAACAAATTTGTTTTCCAATCAGAAGTTAATACATTGGTTGGTCCATGACTGATTATAGTCACTGCAGTGTGTCGGTACTCTCCCTGTTTCCTACCTGGATTTCCTGTCTCCACTCATCCAATTTCCTCATTTTTTCCTATCATATCTTTATCTGTTTCAGGGCACATGCTGCCCTGTGGTCTCCTATATAGTTGATTGATCTAAGGACCACATTATTCACAAGTATGCTGCTTTTATCTATTATTTGACAGAGTGGTGGCCTCCAGGAGTAGCTTCCATTTCAAGTTAGAAGGTTGTTTTAGGTCAAATTGTCTCTTTCAGAACAGTAAATCTGGTCTTTTTGTTTTAATTTTGTTCTACATTTTTTGGCATTGTAATTTGAACCGGCTATTGTGGATCTTAGCACATAATAGTGCTGGCTGGGCACTTTCTAGTTCTACTGGTCTCAAGTTAGAAGCACCGTGGTTCATGTAGGCCATAGTCCTTTTCACTGATTACTTCCTTGAACTTTCAAAGTTTTTCATTCTTTTTTGCTTCTGATGGGAGGAGACCAATGTTTGCTTCTTTTTTTAAAAAAAATTATTGGGAATAACATGTTGGGAATACAAGGAGGTGAGGGTTGGAGCAGAAGCATGAGGATGGGCAGGAATGAAAATTGCAGGGATGCAGTTGCAGAGCTGCACAATTTGGTTGGTGGGTTGGTGGGGGGAGCAGGTGAAGGAAATGAAAAGGATCCAGTGGGGACCAGATGATACAGGGCAATGGTAAGCATAGTCCAATGGTGATTAAACAAACTGTCTTATTCACTTGTGAGTTTCTCATTTGGGAACTGAATGCAGATTCTCTGCCTTCTTCATGCTAAACAGGGGTGTTGATGTGAAGGGGGGAAGGGAACACACCTTATCACTTTAGTCATGGCCTTAGGTTAAAGCTGCTTGCCTTCTTGTCCTGTTAGAAGATATTTTCCTTACATTTACTCCCCTCTGGACTGCAAAGTGTTTTCCCAGGTGGGTCCAGTGGGGATGGCTGGTTGAACCCAGAGGCTCCATCCTCCTTTGCTTCCTTAGCTGGCAGTTGTATTTCCTTTTTGTCTCTGGAACTGGGTTCAGGCTCAGGAGTAAAACTCAGTGTTTAGGTTACCTATAGGAAACGGAGCAAACCCATTCCTCTCTTGGAATCCTTGATCTCCTGATGTTGAGTCTCAATCCGCACCGAAGACCAGTCATCAACTGTTTAACTGTCCAATTATCAATAAACAGAGGTCTGTAGAAGGCCATGGTGGCCCTTCTCCAAGTGGTCCACTGCTCCCACAGCTTGCCACACTGTCTCCACCTCTGCCGCCATCTTGGATCCCCAATGTTTGCTTCTTATTTGGCCACTCACAAGCTTTTGAGATACTACTCACTAGACTAGGATATAAATCATTATATTTATGAACTGTGTTATGAGCTGACCTCGATCTTCCCTGAGACTGGTCTTTAAGCTTAGGCTCTCTGACCAGTGTGGTTCAAGCTTTGTCTTCTATTTCCCTCTTCTCAGAAGTCCATGTGTTACCAGAACTTCTTCACAGAAGTCCATAAGTTAATGTTTGCCCGTAGATAAAGCTGTCTGTTCTCATCTTGTTCATATACCCTCAACTTTTTTATAAAATACTTCCTGAGCAATGATAATGATAAATAATTATAATACTGAGGGGTGAGGGAAATGGGAAGAATCTGGTATGAAAAACAATGTATTCAAATTTTTTAAATAAGCTAGTATACAAAATGATGTAAAAATAATTATTACAATACTTCTGTTTATTAAATACTTGCTATGTGCTACACATTTTACAAGCTTTATCTCTTAATCATTATAATAGCTGTTTGAGAAATAAGTACTTACCCAAATTTAATCAATAAAAAAATAGACTCAAAAAGAGTAGAAAGTTTACACAACCAACAAGTGTTAGAAATGTGATTCAAATCTAGGTCCAGTTCCAAAGCTTTTCCAACATTCTGCCCATAGGCCCTCTTGCCCAGCGAAGTGTGTGATGTAAATCCCCTCTTGTCAATTTTGATTAGCCAGACTGTCCTTGAAATTTTGATAAAATATCCTGTCAAGGATCCCTGCCCTGCCCTGCCCTGTGCAAGCCCTGTGTCCCAGCCTCATACTTTTAGCCCTGATGCTTCTCCCCTCCATCTCCCATAGCCCAGATTATGTCCTACCTCTGGGTCACTTGTCTCCTTTCTGGCTTCTCTTTGCAGACTGAAGGCTCCTCAGGAGCAACAGAGAAAATGAAGAAGGGGTTGTCTGACTTCCTAGGTGTGATCTCAGACACCTTTGCCCCCTCAGCAGACAAAACCATCGAATGTGATGTCATCACCCTGATGGGGACACCTTCTGGCACAGCTGAGCCCTATGATGGCACCAAGGTACTCACAGCGCCTCCCCTGCAGGTGCCTTCCAGTACTGGGCTTTAACTCATAAAACATGTTCAACCTGAAAAGTAACTATACGTATGTATGTAAGTAATTATAGAATAGTGAAAAACAAGGAAAAGGTAATTTTTTTATATATAATTTTTTATTTTTACAGAGGTTTTGGATTTCCATTCATTCATTGCCGCAATTTTCTCCCTTCCCACCCCTCCCCACCAGCTCGCTTCCCCCTCCGAAGAGAGAAAATAAAAAGAAAAAAAATTCCTTCATTAGTATACAATTCCCATGTCCC